TAGGTTCTCCTCCCTGTGCTTTCCCTTTCCCATCTTTTCTGCCATTCTCGTAAAAGGCTATTGAGCGCGTTTTTTTAAAATAGGACTGCGGAACACTTACTGCGTTTCCAATATACTGGAGTCATTGGCAGCAGATTTCGCAAGCAGGTCCGCCGCCTCGTTGCCAGTAATACCCACATGAGCTGGAACCTAGATCAGGATAGGTCTGTCATCTGGTGGGATACTTAGAAGAATTTTCTGAATATCTTGCACCAAAAGACTCCTTGTGTTGTGCCCTCGGATGGACTCCAAACTTGAAGCAGAGTTGCTATATATGTTGACCTTTAATCCTAATATATATTTTGCCAAATTGATGGCTGCTTTTAATGCAAGAAGCTTGGCCTGAAAGACGGTATTTTTGTCTGCCAGTCGTCTTTGCCAAGTTTTAACCACTTCTCTTTCTTGGAGTACACAGTAGGCGCAGCCTGTGCCTTTCTCCGAGCCATCTGTATAAATAGCAAATGCCTTCTCATTTGGCGGCGTGTATTGCATGTATGTTGTGTGCGATAAATCAGTATCAGCAGGGTGTCCAAGCATGATCGGCTTGCGCTTCTCGTAGTCTGTATGGTAGAATGTCTTTTGCCACAGAGAGACGTTATTTTCTAGGCGCAATGTCCTTACTAATAGTGATTCTCTCTCCACTAGAAGGTCCAGTGGAGAGATACCCGCCAGCACTTGCAGTGCCGCAGTTGGGGATGTTCTATAACCTTTGCCATATGATCAAAAGTTGCATTCTTTGTATTGTGAGAAGCTGCCTCCTCATATGGGCAGTAAGGTTCCTTCCCCATATGGCAGCCCCACATAATATGATCTTTTCTGAGATTGTTCTGTACCAGCTTTTGAGCATAGTGATTGGAGTGCCCCAATGAGATCCTGATGTTCTAACCATGGAATTACTAAGTTGATTTATTTTCTGCTTAAGCTCTTTAATATGTGGTACCCAGGAAAGCCTATTGTTAAATATAATACCTAGATATTTAAGGTCAGTGACCTTTTTTATAGAGACTCCATTAAGCTTAATGTTGGGAATCCTATTTCGCGCTCCATACTGGCATATAAACAGTTGTTTAGTTTTATCTGCTGAGATATTTAATTTGTGCTGATTTGCCCAGCTTGCAAAAGTATTGATTGCGTTTTGTGCCTTTAACCTAATGTCCGTGCTACCTGAAATGACCAATAAAGAGTCGTCTGCGTACGCCTGGATACCCACTCCTTGCTGTTGGTCATAGAGAGCAAAGGCTGTGTTCCCTACAAGATTCCAAAGTGTAGGTCCCAAGCAGGAACCCTGGGGACAGCCTCTTTCCAAACTGACTTTGAGTACATCATTGTCCGTTGTAACCTGTATCCAACGATCCTGCAAGTAGCTGCGTATAAGATTCAGGATTTCCTTTGGGCATTTGGTGATGTCTAGGCATTCGACTACGTCTAGCCACCACAACGAGTCGAATGCCCCTTTGATGTCCAACGAAATAACCAGTGTGTCCATATTGTTGTCTTTGTTCTGCTCTATGTTATCTAGCAGTTGTTTTAAGGCATTATCTGTGGACTTTCCTGTGCGCAGAAGCCATATGTTTTTCGTTTATAGACTTGTTCCTGCACATGTGGAAATTAAGGCGTTGCAGAATTACTTTTTCTAAAATCTTACTGATTGAAGGCAGTAAGCTTATGGGACTATAAGATGCCGGGTCTGACGGATCTTTGCCCTGCTTGTGAAAGAGTGCAATTTAGGCTAGTTTCATGCTTCTAGGGAAGTGGCCGAGTCGCCAGCAGGCTCTGCATAGTTTTGGAAACAAACCTGGGAATTCTTTGTGAATTTCTTTAACAATGATATTATCTATGCCATCGGGACCTGGTGCTTTTTTGTCTGCTAAGGCTTTGATGATATTGTGAACCTAGTGGTCTGTAGTAAGAGTAATATCTCTGTTGCTGCTTTTCCTATTGACTTCTGCCTTATTTCTCTGTGAGTTACTAAATCTAATTCCATCTGGTCTTTAACAAAGACTGTTTCTAGGATAGTGTTTAGAGCTTCTGTTTTGCTTTTTGCATCTTGTTTTACTTTAGCGGTAAGTTGTAGGAATTGAGAAACCTTATTTGTGGCTATTTTCTGTAATGTACCATAGGTTGTTTGCACGTTACTGCAGTGCTTACGCCATGACTCTTGTTTCGCTGCCTTGATTTGCTTTTTGTATTGCGCTAGCTCCTTCCTGTAGCGTACCAACTTTAATATTTTCTATTCTTCATCATTCTCCGCTTGCACCTGTCTTCTTAGGGCTCGTATTTTGCTTCTTCTTTGCTTGAGGTGGTTTCTACACCACGATGTAAATGTTTTCGGCTTAATAGCTTTAAGTTTGTAGGATGTTTTGATGTACTGGTTCCCCTCAATTTAACGGGAAGAAAATCTGATGGATCGCATTTCCTTTTGTGACTTGTTCTAGAAACGCAACGAAGAAATATCATTTTTGAGGCAGTTACTGATTGGGGATGCAAAATGGATCATTTATAATAGAATAAAAAACATCTTGGGGAAAGTAGAATGAACCACCTTCAGCCACCCCAAAAGTCTCTCTTCATCTAAAGAAGGTCATATTCTGCGTCTGGTGGGATTGGAAAAGGATACTGTATTATATGAGCTTTTACCAATTAGCGAAATGATAAATTCAGACAAGTATTGTTTCCAATTAGGTGAGTTAAAGACAGCAACTGAGCAAAAACGTCCAGAAATAGCGAATCGTAAAGACGTCGTGTTTCTTCAAGACAATTCGCGACCTCATGTGTTTTTGATAATGTGACAAAAGTGGTTGGAGCTCGGTTGGGATGTTTTAATATTTACCAGACCTCGCGCCTTCTGATTTCCACCTAATTTGATCATTACAAAATTCCCTTAATGGAAAAAAACTTCAAATCTCTGGTCGAGATAAAAATCACGTAGAAATGGTTTCCGGTGAAAAACTTGAGAGATTCTGGAAAGACGGAAATTTCAAGTTGCTCCAAAGATGGAGAAAGATTGTAGAACAGAATGGCACCTACATAATTTAATAAATATAAACTATAACTCTCTTGCATTTCAATTTTCCCTAAAAGTCGGCACGAACTTTCCCGACAACCCAATAATTTCGTATGGAAAAATAAGTGATAAAATTCGATCGTGATGCTCAAAGAATCACTCGCATACACTAGATCCATCACTTAAAAAAAAATCCTCTCTCGATACGTTTCAAGGCATCGAGGAATAGGAATAGTGGATTAAGCCTAGTATAAAACATATTTATAATATCGAAACCTTACATATTTCCTAATATATAAGCCATTTTTAAGCAGGATATGTCCACAGCTATCGAAATATGTTTATTCTGTTAATATATCTAAACGCATTCTGAATTAATGTTTGTTGGCCAAACATTTTTCTGCGATTATGTGTTTATAAAAGATAAAATGATTTGCAGCATTAGAACCTCGGATCTCGAACACCTCGCTTCACGAACAGAGTATCTGAACAACAGAAAAGAAGAAGAAAAGATGCCTCAGATGACGAATGGTATTTTGAGTTACAAACACTCTAGTTGGCATAATATGATTTAAATGTATTTTCGGGTAATCTGTGTCACATCATTAACACTCAGAGACTTCTGGTAACATTATTTTATTATTTTCCACTGCTTATCTCTCCTTAACAAAAACTAGCAACAAGTGACTTATGGGATCATGAATTCTTCCTGAAGAAAATTATGGCTGGATTAGGTTGCAGGCACAAACTTTGAGTACTTTGACACTTAGGACTTTTTAGGGCTCTCGAGTTTCAGACTTCAATTTTTCGTAGAACCACTTTTGTGGTTTATCACTTTTCAAATAAAGAGATGCCACGACGTTGATTAACAGAAGAGGAAAAGATTTATTCTCGTAACAAACGACTGAAAACGTTATGCGACAATGACAAATGAAATCGGAATAACGAAGAATATTGGTTTAAAAACTAAACGAGCTAGAAGATAAGTAGTTCGAAAGTCGATTTTCAGAAGAAAAACCTTACATTGAGGAAATAAAAGAGCCCTTTTGGGCGACGTTAAAATGTCAGATTTTAAGCCTCAGTTTATTTTATTTATTTATTTATTTAATTTATGATATTGTGGCTAGGCAAAACCATGCATTAGAAAGTTAACAATGAAAAACAGGTATTAGAGGATCATAAAAATTCATTCAGTGTGAAAGATCTACAACAATTTAAGTAACAGCAATAAAAGCGATTTTAGAAGAAATGTCTGCAGAAAAAGAGAAAAAAATGACCCTGATTTGCGAAATTTGTACAAAATGGGCTAAAATGCAAAATTTTCAATTAAAGATTTCACGCTAATGAAGCAATAGCAACCTACAGCATACAGATTTTTTTTTAAGGAGAATGCCATGTCTCAATTTAGAAACATCTTAAAATAGACAATTACAAAGCATATTGCTGAAATTTTGAGTGAACAGAGGACCCAGTGAGTCTCAAGCAGAATCGAGTGACGCTTAATTAAAGATAAAGAAAAGATAAAAAAAAATCCCCTAAAGAAAGTTGCCTGATGTTTTTATGAAAGAGAATTTCGCATCCAAACAATAAAATTTTTCTTCATATTTTTCATTTATGCCGTCTAATCTAAACTTCATACAGATGTAATAAAATTGTATTGTCTTTTTATCTATTTTATCTTGTTTTTTATTGCCTTTAGCTGTTTCGTTTTACATTATTTCTATTGGTTTGGACTTGTGCATAAGGTACTGTATTTAAATAATCAGTCATCTGTGGTCCATAAACAAATTAATCCTTTTTATATTAATACCTATGGAAATTGTTTTTGGTTTACGGACATCTCACTTGACGAACGGCTTTCAAGGGAATAAATTAAATTCGTGTACCGAGGTTTTACTGTATTTGGAAAATGGCTGAATATTCATTATTGATTTCTAATTGAAGTCTTTATTTGCAGGCATTCCTCATCGCCTTTACTTCTGAGTTCCTGCCTAAAATGTTATACGAATACGAGTATAGATGGGATCTAAAAGGTTATGTTAATTTTACTTTGGCATGGGCACCAAATGGCACACTTACGCAAGCCTGTAGGTAAGTGTATTTTCGGTAATTATGCAACTATAATTACACCTTTAGTATTGCTCATTACTGAAAAGGAAATTAAATATTTTAAGCGGTAGTGGATTATAAAAACTTATGATAAGTTTGATGTATAATTTACAGAAGTATTTCGTACTTGTATTCTGTTCTAGAATTAAACATCTGAGGCAGAGCTGATTAAACCACTCTAGGGTCTTCTTACAACGCTTTTTCAAGTTCTTCCAATGCCCACATTCGTTGTCTTTACATGGAAAAACTGGGCTTCTTAGGAAATAAAAGACGATTTGCGGGTGCCATGAAATCTGAGATCCAGGTCCTGTAGCAGTAATTCTCAGCCACTTGCCGTGGCACTTTTATGTGCCGCCAAATTTTAGAAATGATTATAGTAAAAATTATAATGGGCTTAATCCTAGTGTAGGGTGGGTACACATGAGAATTGGTGAAATTCGGTTTTTAAGACTAATAAGCGCCCACTTGTGGTATCCAAGGCTTCTGTATTTGAATTAACTTTGAACAAAGAGGAAGAACTAATTTCGCTTTCTAATAATCGAGATTTAATTTTAAAATATTCGGAATAATCAATTAATTCATTTTGGATTAACATTACATGCGATTATCACACGATGGCCCAAAACGCTTTAAAAATATTATTTACAGTTTTCGTTATCTTATTTGTGTGAATTCGGATTTTCAGTATTAACCAACATAAAAACGAAGAACAAGATAGAGACTGTTAAATGCAGAAGACGATATGAGAGTAGCATTGTCATTTTTACGACCAAATATAAATAAAATTATCAAAAACATCAAGCTCATTCTCATTAAAAATATTCTTATTATTAACTTGTAATTAATCCCTTAATAAACTTACTGCTGTTTTTTTAGTACATAATATTGAATTTTACATTCAAAATTATTATCAGAAACTTTTTTACACAGTGTATTATAGGTAAGTAAACCATTTTTTAACTTACCTTTTTTTGTGTGTGTGCCGCCAAATTCTGAAATCGTTAAAAGTGTGCCGCGACAAAAAAAGGTTGAGAAGTAAAAATATAGGTAAAAATCAGGCCTCGAACTTGCGTTAGGATGGAAGAATAATTTTTAATTTCAATTATTACATAAAGAATGAGATATTGGCTGCATAATTTATAGAATAATATTGTGTTGTGAATGACCTTTCGTTTTTAAGAAGAGGAATATAAATTAGCTTTTATTGCTGTAATTTTTCCTGCATTTTGAAAACGTGATTAAAATTTGGATTTGCTTTCTACAGAACAGCAAGCAGTCGATGATTTTCAAAGTTATAAGATTCTACCAACAAAAAAGTTTCTGTTAATGGACACATTATTTCGAAACGGATAAAAAGTGGTGAAGCAACGTGAAGAGTTATGAGAAGAGGATATGTATTGGAAAAGGAGCCTGGTTTGAGTGCTGTAGAATAACATTCGTAAGAGTACTCCTATTCATTTACAACTGGTCGAGAGAATTATCACCTGTTATTAAACGGAGAAACGGACAACTGGATATGGCCGACAAAACAGTAATAGTCCGTAATAATTAGCCATGGGAGTTTTATACTTATAGCGTTCTAAATAATGCTTCCTATATGATTGGAGGTTCTAACTACTATATAGTAGAAATCGAAGAAAGCCTTTTTCAAAGCGGGAAGACGAAGCAGATGGAATACTGATTGTTTAATAAATTGTTAAGTAAACAGGCATAATTTCATTCATAATTCTGCCAGAATGATTGGCGCAATTTTGGCTGGATCTTCGCCATTTCCATGGTTCAATGGTAGCCAGCTTTCACGGTCAACGAGATAATGTTGTTGCATTTTTTTTTTCTTCTATTACTTCACGTCCCTACGTGCAGACTTGGAGTGATTAACGACGACACTTGATGAAGTATCGAAACACGCTTTATTTAGCCAATATTAATCAGGACAGCTTCAAAGTTACATTTTACAGTCGCCGAAGATCTACTATACACTCCCGGAACAATCAGCGACACAGCCTTCAGGTTATCATGCTATAACGGTGGAGACAGGTTCACTGCAAAGCACCAGAGTACAGCTCCCGACTCTGTTCTGTCGTTCTCGGAACTCCACGTACTCTCGAGACTCTCCACGCTACAACTTGCGATGCACTCGACGACACACAGAGCACAGCTCCCGACTCTTCGGTTCAGTCATTCTCGGAGCTCAACACACTCTCTCGACGATGCACTAACCGCGATACACTAAAAGACTCTTTCGATGCACTCGACGACCCACTTGCCACTCAATGCCCGGCTGTCAACTCGATCGACTCCACACGGACTAACTCGAGACTAACTATCTCGTACTGACTCTCCGCGTACCAGCAGTGTTTATATACTTTTTGGCTTTTTGTTCGAGAACATTCTGGGCTAAACCGGTAAGAATTCGTTCCAGAAGGTTCTCCATCCGTCCATGTCATATCGCCAATTTTTGTAGCAAAATGCGGTAACCCTGCCTTCTTCTGTCATTTATGGCAACCCTAAACCTGCTTTGCGGGGAAGCTATCTTATCGTACCTGTACATTTCGTAACAGTATGTAACTGTCCTATACTGTTGCAAGGTACGAGTTCGTGTATGTCTTTTTAAATAACCTTTTCAAATGAGCACGAGGAACGATAATTTATTATGCATAATAATGACTGACAGCAAAATAAATAGCTGTAAAAGGCTCGAGGGGAAAGCGGATAATAAGCAAATCCTTCTTAGATCTTCTTAACTTCGGCTATCACTCACAGAACAAACTTTAAAACTCATCACTTAATTCTCTTTGAAAATGAAAAATCTCAGAACTGATTAACAGTTGTCACATCCTTGATGCTTTGAAGGTTTTTCCTGGCATTCAGCAGAAAATCTTGACTGGGCCTGACATTATGTTAATGTCCGAAGATGAGATTTCTCAATACGAGGTAGAATTGAAGAGGTGATACAAGAAGATAGCCGCATCCTAGGTCTCGCAGCCGTATTTTATGGCTCCGAGGCTGTGCAAAAGAGCCATATTTATTTGGCTTTGAGGCTTCTGAAAACTTCGGAAAAATCGGTCTTAAACCTTCGAAAATCGTTCTTCCGAAACTTCCAGAAAGTTGCCAAATAGTCTAGTACTCTAAAATTGTCGAGGATTATCATGAGCATTTTATCTTGTATTCTAATTAAGCTATTTTAGCAATTTACACGTAATTTGATTCAAAATTGGAACATCTGCAATGATAAAGAAGAAATAAATACATATTTGCAAAACATACAGCTCAAAATTCAATTACTCGCAAATAAATATAAGCAAACTATTACCCTCAGTGTAAGAATTAAAAAAACACTTCATAATATTAAAACAATACACAAAAGCAACAATGTAATGAAATATGTATAAATATTTTCAGAGATGAACAACATTTTGCTCTGGAAACCAATCGATTTAAAGACTGTAACTGTCACTCTGTTTTATCAAATAAAATTTTAGCCTTATTTGAAATAAAAATAATTTAGTTTCCTGTCGTTTCCTTTTTTTTTTTTTTTTTTTTTTTTTTTTTTTTTTTTTTTCCAGATATTCAGACTTTCGAGACCAAGATGGCAACCATACGACGTTTTACTGGAGGCTGCTAGCATTAAGATTTGGCTTTGTTATATTATTTGAGGTAAATTATTCTTTTCTTCTTAAAATTAATAATTTTGAAAATAAGTTACCTAATCTTTTTTGGCAAATAGCCAACTACATCGACAATTATATAAAATGTCATTGCTATTTATGCTGGGCTCGTAACAAACTTTAAAAAAAAAAAAAAAAAAAAAAAAAACTTTATACATACACCGTGTCTGCAAAAGTCCTTACCCGGTCCTTAATTTCGTAACTGTTGGTCGTAGGCATGTACTTCGCACTATAAAAATATTTCAAATAACGCAGCTATTCCTGTTTTGTCATTTTTTAGATTTAAAGAAATCAATTTTTTTACGAAGTTAAGCTTTTTATACGGTTTACCAGCCCCTGTATTTATTATAAAAAAATTTACCCTCATTACAAGCCCACCAGTAGCCGAGTGGTTAAGAACACTGAATACTGATAGTTCGACCCTGCTTTGGGTCCGAACCCAGGAGAACGGGCTAACTGCGTGGATGCTTTTCGCGATTTTCGCCATATGTAACGGGAATATCAACCATTTTCCTTCAGAAAGTCTTCCACGAAAGCATCCTTCCTCTTAGATAGATAGTTCTCATGGCTTTGCCATAGTGAAGTAACCTAACTAACTTAACACTCATTAAAAAATGAAAGGCAAAAAGTTCCCTACGGCATAAATTAGGAAAGATGTTTAATTTCAAAATTCAGGAAATTTGACGTCATTACCAACTTACCTTGGGGAAGGGGTTTGGTTAATAAATAAATCAAAGTAATTCGACTTTAATTTTACGACATTCAGTGATAGTCTTTTGTGATTTACTAATGTCTTTAATTTATAGTTTTGTTGTAGTATTTCTTAAGCCGAAAGAGTTTTCACACAAGTAACTTTACAAACGCTAAAAATATGTTATTAATATTCTTAAATATTAATATTAGTATTTAGACTTATAATTTAATAATAAGGCAAAAAATCATTAAGTTCGAAATATTTTAATTTCTAAATGTGTATAAACAGTGTTAAGACTTGGTTTTTGCGAGTACCAAAGCCTGCTAGTGTTGTCTAGAAAACAAATTCTGTAGGATTCTGTGAAATTATATTTATTAATACTTTTCGCGACAATCTGCATAGAAGGGCACGTCATTAAATCAGACAGTCGAAACCTTTCTCTAAACTAATATTTTGCATTTGGTTACGTACAAATTAAACATTTCGCTCTTAAATTTGCTACCGCCCCTGAATTTGAGCTCCCACTTTAGAATGAAATATCTCAGTCAGTTTTTATCTTACGGAAGTCAAACAGTTTGGAAAAGTTTAAAAATTTGTTTTTTTGGAAGTTTTGAAAATTATTTTTATAACTAGTATACAAGTTTCCTAAATACACGAAGCGTGGGAGTGAACAAAAATTTTGATTTCGTAATTTTTAAAAAGTCGATGTTTTTAAATTTAAAAATTACCAGAACATGAATATTTGCGTCATTCGAAACATTTTCGTAATTTGGATGTACCAATTCGTATAGCTGACTGTTTTAAAAGTAGAGGCCCGGTAAGGACTTTGTGGATACGGTGCAAATTATTTGGTTATATACTCTAAGGTTCTTAATTTTCATTGCAGCATGTTGTGTTTACTGTTTGTCGTCTGATCGACATGTTGGTACCCGATATTCCACTCGCCCTAGAGCTGAAGATCAAACGAGAGCGGTACCTCGCGAAGCAAGCCCTGGCAGATTCTGATACTATTATGAAGGTAATGTAGATATGCTTTTATCATGCTAGTAGAACTGGCTCTAGACCTTTTTGCTGTCTGGGCGCAGACATTCTGCGCTGCTACTGAATTCTATCGCCCGTTGCCTTCCTAAAAAATCGTAAAAATGTTGCCAGTTCTAAATTCTAACGCACTGGTTCACTAGGGCTAAGGCCACAGCTCGTGCTGCCACAATGGACGGCTGAATAAAGGCAGCATTTTTTTTTTTTTTTTAATTTAGGAAAATTCCGAACAGAAAAAATTAGGAATGGCAGAAATTTCAGAATTTAGGGAAGGCAATGAGCTTCAGAATTTAGGATCAGCAAAGGATTTTAGGATCAGCGATCCTGGGTTGCATCGGCACTGAATAAAATTTGCGCACGTATAAGATCTGCAAATTTAGATTTGTCTTTCAGCTTAATACAATGCATCAGATCTGTAGCATACAAACATTATACAAGAAGGTTTCAAAAAGACTGCGTTTAATTATATTCAGCATATTTAACTGCATCGTATGTCGAAAACCATATTGATATATTCTGATTCTTAAATAAACATTTTAAATATTCTTAAATAAACATGTGAGCAAACAACGTAATCATTGTCCTTTAAATTTCGGAGAAATTGTAAACAAATATGTGTTAACAGATATCTGTTGATGTAATAATATATATATGTGGAATGAGGTTAAGGGGTAAAATAGAGGAAGGCTTTGGCATTTTAAAGGTATTTAATAATGAAAGAATAAACATGATTATGATATGTACAGAGTGAAAGGAAATAAAATAGAAAGTTCGATTCATCATGAAACGGAATTACATCATCAAGCAACACTGTCGAGCGGCATAGTCCAGCTGCATCTATCGCCACGTCGTAACCTCATCTGAATGGAATTCTGTCCATTTCCTCACGCAGCTTGAAGAAGTATCTCGCCGCTGTAGCTGTTGCCAGATTTAGGAAAAGGCGGAGTATATATATATATATATATGTATGTATGTATGATTATAATGAGGATGTATATGAAAAAGAAATTATTTTGGAGGAGGATGAAAAGGAGAAAGTGTTTTATAGTGAAATTCTGATTGAGATGAAAAATCTACGGATAAGGTCTACTCCTGGGTTAGATGGGATCGGGGCTACATTGTTGAAGATATTGTTTGAGGATTGTCCTTCCTTTTTCACAGTGTTATACAATAGATGCTTGAAGTTGGGGATATTTCCAGATGTATGGAATTTAATCTTGATTCTAAAGGATAAGGGTGGATTTCGTCCAATTTGCCTACTGAAAACATTGCAAAGTTTAGATAAACTTTTATAATAGACTTTTAGTTAATAGATAATATTTTCTGCAAGGCAAATTTGGTGAAAGGGAAGGTCACCGAACTGGCTCTTTATAGGTTCATATCTGGCATTAGAGAGAAAGAAGACTAGCATGTGCTCTATGGTTTCATTTGACGCCAGGGAGCCTGAAATGTAAGGTGGCTCTTCCTGATGCGACACTTGAAGAATATTGGAATTACTAAGAATATGTATGAAATTATAAAAAATTACTTTAAAAGTCGAAAAATGGTTTTTAAGGGCCCATCTGATAATCTGAATCTTGTTTTTGACATTTACAATGGATGCCTTCAAGGCTCTTCCAGCGCTCCTCTGTTCTGGGGCTTCATTGTTAATGACTTACTGCAGAAAGTCAATATTTCGAACTGTGGGATTGTCTGTTATGCCGACGATATATTGGTTATGGTGGAGGAAGACTCCCTTGAAAAAATGGAGAAAGTATTTTAAAAAGTAGAAAATGATTTGAAAGAATGGAGTGACAGAGAGAAAATATATTTTAATAATGAAAAAACTTGTGAACTTATTTTCTTCGGGGTGAGAGAAAGACTATAGCAAATTGAGTTTTGCAGAACATTTTAAGCATATACATAGAATCACAGATAACATTTTAAAAGGTTATAAGTATAATTTTAGTACTGGTACTTTGAACAGAAAGAGTTTCACCCTGAGAGAGAGATTTAGAAATGTGATCATCCCTAAAATATTTTATGGAGTCGGAGCTTGGGGCTGCCGGGCAGAGGAGGTACTTAAAATTAAAATGAAATTGGACACCCTGCAGAGAGGCTGGATGCTTGCCATTACAGGAGCGTTCAGAACCGTTTCAACTGATGTTGCCTGCGTCCTTGCAGGTGTTCCGCCCCTCTCGATTCTATACAAGTTTTACTACAAAAAGTTTCTATTAGCTAATAAAATTATTATAGATACTGAAATTGGACAAAAAGTACTCACAAGTAAGTCTATTCAACAAGAGAATGAGGATATTATTCACGGAATGACGCGATTTGGATTATTTTATGATCTTGAGTTTCCTTCTGGTGGCGAAATAGCCGTTAGGTAATGTGAGAATAAAACTTAAACCAATTCGGCTTATCAAGCAGAACTATACGCATTGACAGAGGCTTTGAATTGGATTAATAAAAAATTAACAATTGGATGTTTTACAAATATTTATACTGATGCCCTATCTGCGCTTCAGGCACTCGCCAACCAGATCATAAAAATCAACTAATTAATGAAATAAAAGACTTGTTTAAAAAGGCTGAAAGAAAACATATTGTTAAATTGCACTCGTAAAAGCCACACATAGAATTGTCGGAAATGAAAAGGCGACACCCTGCTAAATGGCGGCACTTGGGGATGGGACCGATAATTTTGATATCCAAGATTCAAGAAAAAAGGCTATTGCTGAAATGGAAAACTGGATTTATACAGAATGGAATTTTCGCTGGGAATCGTCTAATAAGAAAAAAGAGTTAATGAAAAATATAACGTTAAACGAGAAGATGAATATTATAAGTAATGTTGATATAAATCAGGTACTGATTCATCATGGGCGTTTCCCGGCTTATTTTAATCGGTTCCATCTACAGAATGACAAATGCTTAATTTGTGATAAGTTTGGGGACGCCAGACACTTCCTCGATGAATGTACGCTTACCTGGAGTGCAAGAGAGAATAGAAAGAATTTTAAGGAAGATTTTAAAAGGAACTATTCAAATTTGAAAGATTTTGCAAAGACAATAATGAAGATTATAAATACGAACAAAGCCAGAGTTGGAGTTCGGCACTGAGACTCAGATTTTGGACATTTTTTTTTTCCCACTTACATTTGTTTTTTCCTAGAAAGTCCCTTTTTCATCATACGGCCGGCTTGTGCCGGCTAGGAAGATCGGGTCTGTGCCCTTATAATAATAATAACTTTTCAATTTATTAGTCCAAAGGGGAAATTTGCCTTGAAGGACTATTATTTTCATTTTGGCATTTTGCGTCGATTCACGATAAGCGTTGTTTCACTCAAATTGTTGCCACCACATATTATTTATTATATTTAAAGAAAATAAATAATGAATAATCAGTCTAAATGTATGTATGTTTCTCGCATTGTGATAAAACAACGGTACCTGGATCCATCCAATTTTGAATGACGTTATCGTACTGCGAATATGGGCATCTGAAAGCCCAAATTTGAAATTTGGAATTCGTTTTATTATTTATTTCATATTTTGTAAAACTTTAACGAATTTTTGATGAACGAACTCAACGATTTAAAAGCGAGCAATGGCAACACTCTACGGGAAAAAAGAAGATTTTTATCTCCAGCGCGCGGAACTGTGTATCGGAAATTCTACAGATAGGCTCATTTTAAAATTATTTTGCGACATTACTGTTGAACTGAATTTTATGATTTAAGTGCAAAGAACATGATATTTCATAAACAAAGGTAACACACAAAACGTTAAAAAAACGCACCTTTGGACGTAACTTAAAACCTGAAACTTTTCAGATTTTTTTTTTTTAATTTATTATTTAATTTTAATTTTTTAATTCTGGCTATAAACGTCAGTGTTATCAATTGTCAGTGACTTGAAATCATGCGTATAAATGCTATAAGCACAAAACAGGAGGAAACAAACTCGCTTTCCCTAGTCGTTGCAGAAAAGCTTTAACCATTAGGGCCGGGCTAGACATTTTGGGCCGATTGCAGTATCTGCGGCTCCTAAATTCTGCTGTCCGGTGAATCCAGAAATTCGAAAAATTTTGCTGTTCCTAGTTTGTGCTCTCAAAGTCTTCCTTGAATTCTAAACATGTTGCCACTCTTAAATTTCGCTGTTTGTTACTTCTCTAAAAAGTTTTGCCATCCGATGTGGACACGCTAGCCCTGTTATCACTATTATCAGCATCGCTTGAATTTAAGCAGTAATAATAATAATAATTATCTGAAACTTTCAGATTTTATATTACACCCAAAGGGGTGTTTTAAGGTTTTATGTGTTCTTACCTTAATTTATTAAATACCATGTTCTTCGCACTTAAAACAAATAAAATCCTATTCAGCATATCTTTAGAATTTCCGATACACAGTCTCGCGCGCTGGTGATTTTTTTTTTTTTTTTTTTTTTTTTTTTTTACAGTGCTGCCATTGCTCGCTTTAAAATCTTTAGTTTTTTATTCAATTCGTTGAAGTGTTACAAAATATGAAATCGATAATCGCAAGTTCAGATTCAAATTAGGGCTTCCACATGCCCATATTCGGGTGGAAACGTACGTTATTCAAAATCGGATGGCTCTAGGTACCGTTGTATTACCACAGTCCGAAAAGCATACATACATTTATGTAGATTCTTTATTATTTAATTTCTTCAAATATAATACAGGGGGATAATATTTGGTGGCAACAATTTGAAAAGCGAATCGGACATTTATAGTGAACCAACGCAAAATGCCAAAACGAAAATAATAGTCCTTCAGGGCAAATTCCCCCTTTGAACTAATAATACAGGGCCGTCCCTAGGCCATTCGCTGCTCGCGTACTTTCCTAAGATTGCCGCCCCAAATTTAAAAAAAAATAATAATAATTGCTCAATGATTAATGAAATTTTTACTTCATACTTAGTAAATACTTATATATGACAAATTGTATGAAAAGTACTTACATATGACAAGTA